AACGTCCAAAGGACGCGAATTCACGGCGTAACGAATTCAGAAAGTATGAGAAAATGGTCCGGGCAAGGCGGCTTAACGAGTTGCTAACGCAATTTTCGTTCTCGATTAATGTTTCTGTAACTCGGACGTCCGAGAGAAGCCAAAGAGATCGTCGCAGGAAAGAAGGAGTCCGCTGGAGATGAGATTCAGGGGCCGAGCATCGCGCCGTGGCAAATTGAAAAACGCGAACGGAAATTTCGAGCCGGCGATGGTTCCGGAAGAAGCGCGGCCCTCGGCTCGCGTGGCAAACGGGATTCGCAAGAGTGCGGTCGGCGCCGCTTTCATCCAAGACGAGTGTTTGAAGGTACGCGAAAAGGGCGTGGTGACGGCGCCGCTGAAAAGGGCAATCGCTCATTCGCGAAAATGCGGCCGGCTGTGCCCCGTGAACGCGACGAGAACCGCTCGAGAACCACTAGAAATTCCTCTGGTAATTTGAGCCCTCGAAACGAATGTAATTATAAACAGCTTGGTCCGTTTGGTGCCGTTCTCATTCCGGCCCAGTTCCGGCGAAAGAAATCGCTTGGGGAAACCGCTTTTCAGAACCCTCTGTCCCTCTTTCACTTCACACGCAGCGCCCGCGATTCGACCCGACTGGAAGCGAGCTGTGATACGCGGCGTTTCCTCCGTATCGTCGCGCGACCGTTGAATGTAGCAACAGTTATCCGTCTTTCTCTTCTGAAAAAGGAATTTTGTAAATTTGGTTTCGCTTCAAGCGAAGCTTCAGGGATTCGACGCGACTTGAAATAGGTTGTGATAAGCAGCGTTTCCTCTGTAACGTCGCGCGACGGTTGGACGCGGCAACAGTTATTCGTCTTCATTCGTGGGAAACGAGTTTTGTAAATCTTGTTTCGCCGTTTTGCTTCGAACGGAGTTCAAGAGATTCGACGCGATTAAAAAAGAGAGAAGTTGTAATACAAGGTGTTTCCTCCGTATTGTCGCACGATGGTTGGACACGTCGAAGGTCATCTGTCCTCATTTTTGAGGAACGAATTTTGAGAATCATTTTTCCCCAATCTCAAAACGACATAAAATTGCTGCGTGTAAATTGAATTCATTTACAGACAGGAGCCAACAATTAGCTAAATAACGCACGCATGTGACCCCCTCTTAAGGGCGCGGGTCGCCGCACACTATGACGAGCCACACATACAAGAAAACCATATACGTATATTAGTTTTAGAGGTTTCTATCGACCAAAACTGACGCTTTAATATCGAAGTATGCAGTTCACAAGTGGAAAATTTAGATTCCGGAAAGACTAAACGACTGGGCTTCGGTTGTAGAAATATCCGTTTTGCAGTTATTGCGGAGATATTTGCAATATTCGGCCAGAGTGGTGACAATCTCACGAGCATGACGTCACAAGATGGCCGCCGCTAACAGTTTTTCGTAAATATCGAGAGATATAGAGCTCGAATCGAAAATTCACAACCGAAGCCCAGTAGATAAGACACGTACAAAGACGGTTATGTCAAGATTATGTCAAGGTTATGTTATATACCTGACGGTTGAGCTCGCTGTGGTGCAGCTTGTTGGTTGGAAGAGAACTGTGACGCTAGTAGTGAAAAATGTCGGAAGCTCGGGGTTGGTGCTTCGGTCTATCAACTACTCCTG